CAACAAGGACGCGACAGGACGCATGCGATTTAGGTTAGATTTCAATGTACATAGATTAGTTAGTTTAATTAGGATAGGTAAAATTATTAAGTTAAGTAGAGAATTAAGGGATTACAGTGGCAAGAGAGGCGATGCCTCGAACTCATGAACAAGAGGTTGGACACTACAGTGCCACCGAACAATAGCCAATAATAGTAAATTCCGTGTAAATACAACTTAGATCATTACTGTGATGTAAAGTCACAAAACCTGTAACCGAGAAAAAATCGTTAAAATACATGTATTAGGGTAGAAAACCTGTCCCCAGGCATTTGCCACGGGCTGCGTTCGTTTACCCCGGTGAGCGACGGGTTGCGTCCGGCGTTTGCCGCCAACTCCCGTCAACAGTGTTTTTCGAGAGTGCTCTATAATAAAACTTTGTCATTTTGTCGTCGGAAACTTTTCAAAGTCCGACGCTCCGCGAGCCCTTTTCGGCTCCTTCTCCCGGGCCCGCCGGGCCTTCCACACGCCTCGGCCCGCCTTCTAGGCCGAGACGACTTTCCGTACTGACGATCTAATGCAACGGAAACACTTTGTTACTTTTCGCCCGGCCGCCAGCTCGGCCTCCGAAGGGCAATTTGTCGGCCGACTCAGAAATTTTCGGAAGTCCCGCGCCGAAGCGCTCTGCGAAAATTCTTCTCGCCATCTTTTAATATGTTGTTCCTGACGTCGAGATAGACGTTTTAAACATATATTGTTTTGACATTGAGTCCCGCGGCTCGGAAATTTACGCGCGCTGCCGTGGCGACGTGGGAAGGCGCTCTTAGGAGTGTGGATAGCAGAATGGGAGGATAGCAAATAACGTTTTTTAGTAGGATTGATAAAGCAAATTCCGCGTCCCTGAACTTTTACCCCATATGGAATAAACGGTCGCAGAAAAAAAAATGTAGAATTTTCAACAAAAGTCAAGTAGCCTTGCTTTACAAATCTGAAATTGGGCAATGGAATAACACCATACAAACCAAATTACAGTATTTCATAAACTGTGTCGTGTGTATGTTAAGTCTCTAATTATGTTAAGTCTTCAGGCCAATGAAAATAAGAAATGAACGCCGGAGATGTACCTATTGAGCTTCAGATAAGAACGAGGAAATTACTAATAGGACTCACTGGCATAGGGGCAATTTAAAGATGGGCTTCAGAATGGAAGCCGCAAGACCAAGGGACACGTGGAGAAGGACCATCTAAAAGGAAATTAAGGAATTATTAAAGGAATGGCGGCTTAACGAGTTAAGATTGAAGTTCTGTTGAGGTACCATACTCCCGGGGGAGCGGTGGCGAAAGATTAATGATTCGAAACCTGCCTGAGGAAATTTTTTTTACTATAATCAATTATATAATCAATTATATAATCAATTATATAATCAATTATATAATCAATTATATAATCAATTATAAATGGTATATACAAGGAGCGATTATCGCGTTCGTGAAAACTGTTCAAAGGACTGATTGTATTGGTTAGAACTGCGGGGCGTAAACCAGAAGGCCCGGGTTCTAGTCCCGGTCGGAGCAACCAACTCTAAATTTGTTCAATTATTAAAAATACCATTTTTACTGCGCGGAAATTTTAAATCCTTCGTGATTTACTAGTAATTTACAGGAGGTTAATTAGTAGGAATACTCTACATATTTATTAATAATTATAATTATAATAATTATATTAATCATTCAGAGAGTCTCTCTCACTTGTTGACTACTCTTTGGCACATTACAGGTAGACCCAGTTTGATCAAATTTGTTTCACACAGTGTACATGTTTTCGTCAGCATCATGGAGATTTATTGAATTCTATTTCATAATTATATTTCTAGGATGCGAGTTCTTAGTGTTGTAGAAGTCAATACCGATAACTATTGGTTTGTAAGAAACTTTTCTCTAGAAAACGTTAGCAGAACGTATTGGACAGTCTCGGAATTCTATTTTCAGATAGTGCTATACTAATTTAAAACTTGTTAGGACGGATCCGCTCGGAGGTGGGCAGAATAACGTGAAAACAACCACACGGTTGAACTAATTCCCCATTAGTGTTATCAGGACTAGGAAGAAACGTTCCTAAATAATGTAGTTGAGAACCCGCTACGTAAAACCGCAAAATATTAATGTGCCAGAACATTAGCTAACGAAATTAGATACACGAAAGCAAAATTCGTGGAGACTGCTCACGTTCGTGTAAGCGTACAGAAGACTGGAAGCTTGGGTAGAAGCAAGACAGAAGGACGACGACGACCGGAGCAAAAAATATTGTAAGAGGAATAACGGCGACAGGCCAGAACACGATTCCGAGGGAAGTTGGGCGCAGTTTCGGCTGGTTGTGGTTCGCTGGCGACTTCAAGGTTACTTGCAGGTCCCTGCGAGGCGAACTACGTCGTTAGGGGTGGAGGGACGTGACCTCGCCTGGAGCGCACGGGAGCTAGCGAGAGAGTTCCGCCGAACGTTGGATGTTTGGTGGTGGTTCGCACGAAAATGGTGAAGGTCGCGGCCTGAATATACGACGAATACGCGAGTATAAATATCAGTTATTCCATAGAAACGCAGCCCAATCATAAGATTCTGGATAAGCACATGTGTTCTCAAGGATCGCACCATTAATCGGTGTAATTAGCATAATAGAAAAGATGCTAACCTCCAGAAAAGCTGCAATAGAAAGCTAGTAATAGGAGTACCATCTTAAAGTAACAAGTTCTGCCAGTGATAAGTGCAACCAAATTAAGAAGGTGCATTAAGTGAAGGCATTAAGCGAGGCCAGAGACTACGACAAATAGACGTGCCCGACTTAAAAGGGAAGCGCTTTTCGTTGGAAACTTACGTCTGATATTTTTTTATAGTTAGGAATTTGATGCATGTGCAATTTCTACGAAAATTATCAGTTTTCATTTTTTCAAGGATACCCGCCAATGCAGCACGATGAATAACATGTGAAAGTTAGAATTGTCAGAATTATTTTTCTTTTAGTTCACATTCTATCACGAATGCAATTAGAGTATATGTTGGACCTTTTCGAGTTTCCCATTCCCCGTTATCAATTGTTAGTTCCTTTTGAATTTCATAATTCTCTTCGAAATTTACATTTAAACTGATACACCACATTAAATTATCATTCTTTTACAACTTAAATGTTTTGGTTACATTTTATGGTTTTGGTTTTCGGTTACTAGACGTCTAAGTTCTAAAGAGTAATCTTTGGATGTAAAACTAAGAGAATATCACCTATTTATTCTGCTCCATTTGCAATGGTGGTGAAAATATGGGGAGCACTGGGAGTCTAATCTTTTGAGCAAGTTTTTCTTGGACACGATCGTCACACTGGTGGATTTGCAGTTTCCAATTCGAGAAGTTCATGAACATGCTTATTTTGTAAGTATCCTCATGTTGCTTTTATAGTTATAAGCAATTTGAGTTTAACATACGCACACAATTTTCACTGGTAACAAGCTCCCTTCATCAATAGCAGGAAAGTTAAAATGGTTTCCAGAAAATGCTCTTCAGACATTGGCACTACCAAATTCCCTTAAATATATGTTTTTCCCTATTCGTTTTGCTAATAGTATTTGCACACTGTTCCAAATATACAAATGAACAGTTTTCTTCCTCACCGATAAATTTGAACTTTATCAGAAATTAGTTACCATTGGTACACAATAAGTAGAAAATATTTTCCGAACGAGTCTGGTAAAATACGTTGCAACAACATTCTCAAATAACTTTGCAAAAGTACTCCCAATTATAACTTGTACCTTCTCATCTAGAATATTCTTTAAAAACAAATTTTTGATTGTGGCGTCTTTTTCGCAAACCCTTTGTCTTTGGACATTTTATCATTTACATGTAGATCCAGAGAACGTGAAAATTTTGCTTAGTTTCTTCCAACCATGGCACAACACATTTCTACCTTATATTATTTTATGAAAATTTCAATTTTCTTTCGGCGAAATGCACGCACAACTCGGGGAAAGCAAACTTGCGGAATCACTATAAGGGTCGATAATACGCAAGCAATAATTATCCTTTTAAATATAGGTAAATCGTGCCCGTTTGCTTTCAATTTTGTCTCTTAATAGGATTTCCAATGTATTATTCATTTAGACAAATACATAACTACTCAATACTTTCAAAAATTTCAAAGCGAAAAACTTTCATGTTTGCACTTTAATAAATAATACATACCTGTTCATAAAAACAAGTGTTCTTTCAGCCATTACATTATCACAAAATTACGTTTTTTGTTTATAATAATACTCTATTTCGAAAAACCCTCTTCTCCATATTTGTCCCGAGAATATTGTGGGAAAACTCAACATGTCCAGATTAGTGGTCTGTTCTAAGTAGAGGAAACTCGCCTTCCTAGATTTCGAAAAAACTTATCCGAGAACTTTTTCACTTGCAGAAAGCTAAAACCTTAATCTCGATCAACTGATGGGGCCAAATATGTAGACAAGGGCTAATCGAAATTTAATAATTATCCTTATAAATATAGGCACCTCGTGATCGTTTGCCTGCAATTTCGATTCTTAATGGGATTTTCAATGTATTGTTCATACATTAAGACAAAAATATATAACATGTAAAATAAAAAATATTTTCTATTAGAAATTTGTTGGTGGTGAACAATAAGCCGTGGAATGAAAGCTTACCGTTTGCCTTAGTTTCCTAGCACTTTCACTATCTTATTTACGAAAACAAATTTAAGTTTCGTAAATTATCAGGTATACGAACGTTAATGTGCAACGTAACTTACTACATTATACGAACTTCCAATTTAGCAATTACTTCCTTCTGACAATGCAAGACGTTATGATCCTCCGTTTCAGATACTTCCTGCAAAATTTAAAACCGATCTTATTCAATGAACAAATATTTGTTTTATACCACAAAGGCAATCTAAAAAGCTTTCCATTAGCGATAAATGCTTGTCCTATTCCATTACAATTGAAGGCTACAATATACTTTTCCAATGCTTGGGATAACTTGCTACTAAGACTGCTGGCCACTCAAAATTGTTCACCAAAGCTTGTCTGCAACATTTCACACATGCGTACGAAAGAATATCAGTACACATTCGTAGTTGTCTAGTCGGCTCTCCATCTAGAATATGTTGTCGAGTCACAGACCTTTCGACGTTCAATGCGTAATATGAGAAGTCTGCAAATGTGGAGTTGGACCGCATGGACGATGGAGCATTCAGTGATGACGCTGTGTGGTAGACTGCTGCAGGAGACGATCAGTCCTGATGCCACGATGCACAGATGGCCCTGCTAGCAGCAGGTATCGCACTTGCAACTCCTACGGGATGCTGCAACCAAAAACAAGATTGAGATATTAAATATAACAAAGTACATTTTAATAATAGAGTTGATTGGAAGAATTCGTGCCAATCTGGACTAACCGGAGTCTTGTGGTTTACATTCAACTGCTCTAACCATGAAGACGACAAATACTTAGGCGGTTTAATAAACCGAGAGTATTGCTTGTTGTATGGTTTTAAATTGTCACCGTTCTATCACCATACTGGAGAGAATTACGAACGAAAATATGTTCCGCACAGTACACGCGGCCAAGATGGGGCTTGGCGAACACTGACAATATCTTTACACACTTAGTACACACTTAGTAAAACAGGCGCTTTCACGTAAACGGGGACCTTGTACTGCAGTTTTGTGGATTTCTAAAAAAAATGCTTTTGACTCTATAGGGAAGCTCTGTGGAGAAAACTATGAAATAGGCTTCGTGTGAAGTTTTAAACATGTTCATAACAAGTTGTTTGCTCTTGTTTCTTTTCTTTATAAAGAATTTAATAATGGTACAGAAAGCTGACGCCTGCGCGAGTTTTATGGTGAATTGTCACCTACTAAACTAAGGTCTCATTTGTCACGACTACATGTCCATAGACTCCTCCAGTTCAAGCTTTTCAATGTCAACATGTGATTTATTTTCTTGGTATTAAAGAATGTTATCTGTATATTATCTTCGTATCAAATTTTCTATCTGAAAGTATGCTTGAAATTAACCAAAATAACTTTCAAAACGTAATCTTTATCAAAATAAACGAGGAGATTTTATTTAAGTGAACGATTGTAGTAAATTTGTTGGATACGCATTTGAATTACCAATAATATTGACAGTTGATGGATATTTCCACCTTCAATTTATATAAAACTTTCATATGAATATTTTATTCTTGGTTCACCGTCATCACCCTCCCCAATTAGCGTTCTTTGTGAGCAAGAATGGTAGTGATATGCGACGTATTGATATACAATGTGCAAGGCCACTCCAAACAAATCTGACTAAATCGAATCTTACATTCTTTATAATGAACCAATGCGAGTACTGTATTAGGTCAGCACTTGTTTATCTGAATATTTGTACCTTCATCATAAACTAAGAACTTTCCGAATTCCTACGATCTTTGCAGGATATCTTTGTAAATAACATCAAACAAGAATGGAGGTCAATCTGCTATTCCTTCACAATGTTTCGAAACGTTTGACTTTGTACTCTGTTCGAAGTTTCTTTTATATTCACAGCTCTAAAAACTCCTTTCAACCAGATAACCTATCCTCGAATTCTTCACACCAATGGTTATTTTTATTTCATTGGCCAAGCTATATTTTACAGAAGTATAACAGTACCACAAAATATTGGTTTAGGTGTAATTCAGTTTTCGAACGAAGAATGAGAACCAAGAAGCAATAAGAATAATTTTAATAGTGAAGTTTGTCGCGATCTGCAAAGTACAGGTCGCATACGAATTTGTAGCAGACGCTGCCCACTGCCTATGTACAACAGACTATGATCTTAGTTCTTCGTTGTGGATCAGAACAAGCGGAACGCAAAATAAATGTGCATACAAATATTTCCTAAAAATGTGTAATATGCCACAAAACAAATACATTATGCTATGGAAGCTCTTATTTCATTTTATTGAATAAAAAATGTCAAAACAAAAATTTTGTTAGCGTACAAAAGAATTTTATAGTAATTCTATTAGTTTTCGTGGAAAACTTTTTGGACGAATCTGAAAGCTACTAATAATAATGTGAATTAAAACTGAAGAAGGTATTTTAGAAAAAAAAACTATTCGGTGTTGCAACATTCTACAAATATATTGTGAATGTTAAGGTACAACATGTGAACTAGGAGGCTATAGAAGTGAAATGGCAATATTTAAAACAATTTTTATCTTCCGGCGACAAACCCCACACAAAGCTGTTCAATCACAAAAGTTCTCCTGTACGTACTCCTGATAATTTCAACCTTTAAAACCTACAATAAGACGAAGTTAAGTTTAAGGTTCAATTGCTTTCAACGCAGATTTTCTTGCTCACAGTACTCTTATTAATTCTAGAAAGTCACAGCTGCACATCTTTTGCCCAAGCAATTTGTCATGCTTTTTGTCCACAAAATTCGAAAAAAATTAGCTTAAAGATTAATCTGTGAGCAGAATTATGTTGTATACGTAAGCTTCCGCTGCTCGAATCCATAAATTCTCGGCTATCCGGGAGACGCCGCGTCGTTGGCTGGGGTGCCGACGTTTCGCCTGACATGTCGCAGCCTTCCTCAGGGCAGTGACTAGTGAATTATATTATTCCTTTCATTACTTGAATAGATACATTGCTCTCGGTTTTCAATTTGTCAACGATACCCACGATCGTAAATTATTACTTTACTATAGTCTAGTATTTCTCTCTAGTATGACACTGCATCAAGTACCCCAACTGGTTAGAAATGCTTTGGTGGAAGAGGTATCGCGAAATGCAATTTGTTTGAAAATCTGACCTCTCCATAGTGACTAGAATAATAAAGTTTTTAAATGTCCAATTTTTAATACTTTGAGAAACTGTCGCGAATTACGAAGTGCAAGCGCGAGTCATTAGGATATAATCATTTTTGGATAAAGCAATTTTAGACTGATGCTTTCACCACATACAAAACTTCCAAGAGTGTCGAAAACCGTGAACAATTTTGGACACTTCTTTTTAACCTCTTCCGTAGTAAATTAAAATATTTGTCCTCTTGTCTTTGATTCTAGTGCATCCACTAGATACCACGTTTACAATGAATCTACCATACTAGAATTTCATCCTTAGAATTTCGCGTATTCTCTGAACATTTTTAATACGAGTACTGGTATTGCATATACAAGTTCTAGACTAGTATTTCTAAGCGACAATTTATTTGGAACACTTATTCTGAAGTTTTTCTAGAAAGCTTGTAAACCTAAGCATAATCAGGAATAGGATTGGATGCAACCCATTATTTCACGTCTTTGGAAAATTGGCAAATCTGTTGCTAGATTTACAGTAAACGAAAGCATACATCGAAAAGCTTTGTTCTTATTCGTCCTTGCGACATTCTTGTGTATTGCCGTTTCAAAGTAGTTGCCAAGATCCGTTTTAACTACAATTTCACAATATTCACAAAATAGCACACTCATCCGTTGAAAAATGTTACTCCCAATCTATTGTACTAATCTATCTGCTTCATATACATTAATAGAAGGCATAGTAATGTTTCTTAACTACAACGAACCGTTCTGACCGTAGTCTGTAGAGCTAACAGAACAAGCAGAGAAGTTTAAATATATTATACTCTGAGGAAAATGCAGGGCGAATTGGCAGCGATCAGCTGGTTCTATTGTTCAATGGAGATAGTACATTTCAACTTAATTTTTGACATTGATGCTACCGATTTGATAAGTCCCAGTTCATTGAATGAATTCGCCCTACGTTACAATCCCCGTTTTAACTGGCTAGAAATGTTTTAGAGTGTAGCCTTCTTTCCCATGCAACCCTCTATCGTTTATTGGCAGCACTGACCTTGACAACGGCCTACGCAGAGAACAGATTCTAAGAGCGATCATTCCAGAACTTCCAATGCCCGTTTTGACTTCTGTCAGATTCTCAGTTATTGTTTGGCCAGTTGCATAGAATTTGTTAATAAAATATAAGTGAAAATAGTGCCAGTATTACTCTTAGACCGGTAAACTGTACAACTTACGGAAGTCGTTTAAACCGGCACTTCACGCCACTCCGGCGGTAACTGCGCATTTTCAATGCTGGAGGCTTTCTTCAAAAGTGCTTTCTTATGAAAGTGAATTGGTAATTATGCGTTGAATAGACTCGAGGATGTTTATAGTGAACGCTAGAGTCGAAGGCCCCAGCCTCGCCGTGACTTGGATCCGGGCGAGCGAAGCGAGAAAACTTGCCGTTGAAAGTAAATTTGCATTACAATGCGCTGGGAACAAAGCGTATGAAAAGCGAGTCATGAAAATCGTCTATCAGTAGGTTTTATTAATTTCTATCAGAGCGCGTAACGTTATTTGAGAGAAGGCTTAAGAACACCCCTCCCCCGCCACACACTTCGGGTGTAGCGTGTACCCTACTTGACCGAAAAAAAATACCTTATAAAACAGCCAGCGTAAGAAGTTTGGAAATGTGACAATATTAGTAAGTATTTATGCTTTTAAAGAAATCTAAATTTATCTTAATTTTGGAAGAAATACAGCCCGTAAATTAATAAAATACAAGTAACTTTAATATGAAGGAATTAAGCATAATAGTAAATATTCTAAAAATGCAATAAACTCTACAAAACCAAATCCTGTATTTTCATTGTATTCTCATCAGGTTTGTGTCCTTGTTTTACAAAAATACATTCATGGTAAAACGCCACTTGTCTATCTGAGATCCACACTAGCAATTACATCTTTCAGTTATCGATCTGGCCGCACTCTTTACGCCCTATGAATTTCTAACATTTCTATTTTTCAGACATCCCAGAGACCAACATCCAAAACATTTAAAAATATGCAGTACTGTACAACGCACCTTCAGTTACATAAACTATCTAGACTTCTACAGCTACAATGAAATCTGTACTCTTTTCACTACACATTTTCTTCGCTCTCCATAAAACTTAATACCCTGAGGTTAAATTTCTTATTACAATACTACCATTAATACACCGAACGAATATATACAAGACCAAACTGACATTTCTTGAAGATTTAACAATTTCCTAAGTAAATAAAAACTTCTATACATTTCACATTCTCGATGGTGACTTTTCTGACATGGTAAGAACATTTTAAGTCACTAATTATAGAGAACTGCACCATACATTTTCAGAGAAACTCAAAAGTTGAAACCCAGATTTTAGTTTTAAATTAGAAATTCGCTCAACCAGGCAAGAAATTCTAAACGCTAGCGTTAATAAGAAACTTGCGGTTAGAGTTATTATACGTACACAATCGAAGCAGAAAAAAAGGAGTGCATTGCTTCTTAACATGGC